CAATGTTGCCATGCAATGAAATGATGTTCTTTATATGATGAAACAATGTTGCTCATATGATATAACCATATTGTACATACAATAAAAAACCTTTTGCATATGCAATTTTAAACAACGTTGCACATGCATGCAATAAAACAATGTTTTAATGGTAATCATAACCAGTTACTGCATCTTTGTGATGACCAGAAACAAGAAAAACAACAAAACATCAACACAAAAGGATACAACAAGATCTTTGGTCATTCCCATTCCTTTAGCTACCAATCCTGCTACTTCTTTAATAGAGATCTCCTCTTCTTCACTGACTGTAAATATTAGACAAGAACAAGCAAATTACACGTGTATAGCTAGTTACATGCCAAGCTTCCCAGGATTGTTGCAAGAGTCCAGGTTGGTAGATTGGATTTCCTATGGCAAGCAATACTTTTTCAAGGAGAACTAGAAAATGCATATGCATAAGCTKCTAAAGCCCATGACAGGGGACCTGTGGAGAAGGTTGGGGCAGGGGACTGTACACTTTTTCCCTTTTCCCATCTTAGTCTCAAGTAAAGTGTATCCCAACTATACGAATACTGTGCCTCATAAGCTTGTGGTTGATGCAAAAATAATTTGCACTATAGCTAGCATTAGACTTACCTGACAATATGATAGGATCAATTTCATTGTATTCTCTGAGGACCCAAATCATCAAACGTGCAAGATCCTGACATGATAATAAAAATATATATCAGAAAAGTTGTGTTAGTTTTCTTGAAAAACTCCCAAGATATGACATTCCTCAAACTGTAGCTATTTGTATACAATGTTAATACAATAATAATAATAATAATAATAATAATAATAATAATAATAATAATAACAATAATAATGATGATGGTGATGATGATAATGATGATGATAATAACAACACCTATTTGTATAGCATCTATCCAGAGCTGCTCTAGGCACTCAGGAAAGAATTAATTGCCATAAAGCAGGAGGGGGAAAAAAGCAGTTGGAGCATTTACGGAGCAGGCTCAGTTGCTTAATATATATGCRACCTTCCAAGCTAGAGTTCCATGGTTCATTCCTCAATATCTCCACATGTTTTAACTTTTCTCTAATCCGTATAGTTTCAACTTTGAAGGTACTCTAAAAACAGAGAACTGATGGAGAGAGGGGGTAAAGTGTGCAACCATGCATGAGCTCCCTGGAAAACCAGCTAATAGTTGAAGGAACAATGATGTTTAAAAAGGTATTTTACCATTTACAATAAAATATAGTACACACACTGGGTCAGAAAAACTGTCTGGATTTCAAGAGATTTCAAGATTTCAAATTCAAGAAAGGTGGAATTTTACCAGAGAATAGATGAACTGTCTTCTTGGTTTCCCAGTTCCCCAAACAATGAGTGGTTCATCTTTTTCTAGAAGAACAAAGTGGTTAATACATTTTGTTATTAAGCTATGGGACTTGAGGGTTTGTTGAGGGTTGAAAAACTAGTTTTTGTAGAGCTGTTGACAATGCTCCTACTTCTGCTAATCATGTTGTTGGTGCTACTGCTGCTGTCAATATTGCTGCTAACATTGCTGCTGATGCTGCTGCAGCTGCTGGAGATGATAGTGATGGTGATGAAGGTCATAATGATGATATTGATGATAATACTAATGTTGCTGATGATAGTGTATTTTTATAATACGTTGAGGTGCTACACTGGTTGTCGATGATACTCAATGTTACTGATGACAGTGCATGATGATGACGATGATTTATGAAAATGATGATGATCATTATGTTACTGCTGATTATGATTATTCTAAGCACTAAATACTGTAGAATAATATTGTACCAGTATGTATACCTGAAATACTATTTACCAGTAGAACAGGAAAGTTTAACTGGATTATATTCTAGCAAGCCTAGCAAGTCACCAGTCAATCAAGAGGACTGAGAATGTCGGTTGCTTGCATCAAAGATACTTAATAATCCATACTAACAATAATAAAAATGCAAATTTATGATACTGYTACATATGACCTTTTATTCCAGGATCATTATCAAAGTAGAAAGTGACACAATTATACATGTGCGCACTAAGTATTAACTTACTCATTGCAATGTAACACTTGTGTATCAACCCAGGTATCACGTGAGAGTCTTCAAGATTATAATTGTCATGAGGACCATAAACATTAGTTGGAATGACGCTAGTAAACTGGCAGCCATGTTGCTTATTATAGGCCCTAAAGGTGGGAATTTACAAGTAAGAATTGCTTTTTGAAATTTGTGCAAAAGATTGCAAACTTGTAGTGTTTGCACCAACAAATGTAAGGCATACATATAAAATGAATTAATAAAATAAACAGAATAAGTGATAGTGTCTCACAAACAATGAGGGGGGGGCATTTTATATTGATAAGGGACTTGTCATAAAGTACAGGGGGGGTGGGCCTGAAAAAATGGGGGGTGGGCCATCATTTTCAAGCAGAAAAAAGAGGGTGGGTCATGAGACTTTATGCAGAACATTAGGGGTGGGCCATGGGTTATCATGCAAAAAAGGTAATTCCATCTAGTAGGGTTCAGATAACTTACTGACACACAAAAGAATGTTAAACATGATGATATAAAAACCTTTTTTGATAATGAAAAATAGTAACAATAATATTTTTATAGTGCTTTTTGAAATTTGTGCAAAAGATTGCAAACTTGTAGTGTTTGTACTCTATTTTGGAACATTTAGCTAAAAATATTTGAGATGGAATTAGGGTTAGGGTCATCATTTTTTATGCATTCATCAGAAGGTGGGCTGATAGTAATAATGTGTAGCCTGAAGGGTGAGTCACTTTTTTTTCATTTATGATGATTTCAGAAATTTCTGGCCCACCCCTCCCCCCCCCTATACTTAATGACCCGTCCCTAATGCTTAGGGAGAGGGGGTACAAATGTATGGGGTTGTAATGGGAGGGGGTGTGTGTGTGTTGGGGGGGGGGGGGGGGAGGGGTACCAAAAAGGTGTTACTATAGGACTTAAAACACAGAATCCATGTATTCCCTCAGTTCATAAACAGTATGAATGGTACGCTCCTAAAGAGAGATTTATTGGTACCTGTTCTGTACATCAATCATTCTTTTTGCATATGCATAACCAAAATTAGAGTCATGGGGTGGGCCATTATGTACCATGGTYTCATCAATAGGATATGTAGTCTTGTCTGGGAAGATACAGGTTGACAAACAAGAAACACACTTCTGAACCTATACAAAATATTATTATAGCCAAAAATAGTAAGGGAAAAAGTGGTCAAACATTCAGTCTGTTTAACGAGTATAGCACTAAATGTGGCACTTATTCCATTATTAGATTAGAATTCAGAAGATGATTTTTGCAGAGCGAGGAAAACTAGAGAACATGAGTAGGAAAAACTGTTGGCGCACAGGAGTAGCGAGTAGCATTGTTTGAACCCATTACGGCAGCAGAGAGATGATGCACACTACCCATGGTTGTAGAAAAAGGTTCTTCTCAAGTGTATGTACTGTGTTTTCATTACAATTTACAAGGAAAAAATGACATTGAAACTTACTTTGTGCAAAAAGGCATTATGCAGAACATTGTCATTTATCTTTATGTTCAATCTCTGATAAAAACAGAAACAAAAATAAATAATGTGAAATTTTTGTAGTCAGAAAAAAATCTGCTCTTTATGATTTCTTAATTAGGGTCCTATTGGTAACAGTGTGTTATACGCATGCTGAAAGGACAACCCTGGTAAAATAAAGGTTATATTCATTCATTCATAGTAAAGCATTATATCCATACAAGTCACTTACCCAGAAGTCTAAGTTATATTTAAGATTCTTAAAAAGCCCTCCAACCATGGCTGCTAGATGAATGACATGAGTAGGCTGGTGCTTGTCAAATATAGCTTTGGTTGATTCAAAATCTCTGCAAAGAGAAAGATACTGTTAGTAATTCAGCAACAAGTATATCTGTCAAATGTTAAATAACATCAAAAGTTTTTTTTGAAGTTTCTTTTACTTTTCCTCAGAAGTAAGAAGGAAACAGTGGGAATAGAATGGAGGAATCTTGGTGAAAGTCAACTGAGATGTAGTTGTTAATGATCAAGTACAACAAATTAGTAAGTCTGCTGTCTGCTCTTCATCATAGGAGACTTAACGATTCAAGCTCTTTTATCCTCTCTTATACATTGAATTCCAGCAATAGTTGTGGAAAAAGAAAGACAATGCCCTTCTCTGTAATATCTCGAGTTTGTCTTGGTTAATTAGCTTGGGTGTAAGGAACCAAGACTATAGATGCATTTTGAAGCTGAGGTCAAGCAAGTGTCTTTAATGTATGCATTTGAACATTTATAAGGCTGCGTTCATAATGTATGGCGGGGGTGGGGGAGCAGGTGAAATTGAGGGGGGATCATCGGGATGGGCAAATTTTTATCAGAAAAATAGGGGGATGCACAATTTTTTGAAGAAGCTACAAGCCTTGCTTAGGGGGATCATATTTTTTTGCATGACTTTAAGGTGGGGTGTGTTAAGAATATTATTCCAGACATTTCAAATTTTTGCCTGCCCGCCATACATTATGAACACAGCCTGAGCAGTACAGGACACAACTGCTTATGCTTACCCTAATCCCATGATCTCCAATGACAACAGATAATGATTCAAACAATGATACAAAAAATAACTCACGTTAGGTCTCCATCTTTAGAGGAAATAAATATCCATTCTTCATTGGGTCCACTTTCTTCTTTCTCAACTATTTTCTTTATTGCCATGCCAACGAGACCACTCCCTCCAGTAACTAGAATTTTCTTTTTTTGAGATGCCATTTTTTACTACAGTACAAAAATAAAAACAGTGAAAAATATATTAATAAATCAATCAACTACGATCGATTTAGCCTGTGTTACTCTTACTCCCATCCTTCCTTTTCTTTGCAACACTGCAACACCACGACTCCTGCAAGCAGATACTAAGCAAGGCAGGCTATAAATGATGAAACACAAGTCTACACAAGGCAAAATAACATTAATTAGACAGTATACATCTAGTAGGTTTTTATTAAACTCGAGTCGTTTTATCTAAGCAAAGGTCTAAATTAGCTGTTTATGTAAACTGCAGTACTCTAGTAGAAAAGGTAGAGGGCAAATACAATAAGAAAGCACGAGTATATTTTCTAGACGACACGTGGCCAACCTGGTTCGAAAATTTGTTAATCAATTTTTGCTAAACAACATTTGAAAATCTACCATGTCATAAAGAATGATAAATAAATTTTAGACTTTAAGCCAGAAATTATTTGTATTATTACTTACTAATTTTCAGATTGAATGTAAACAAGATCAAGAATTGTATTTCAAACGTTTTCTTCTTAGAACTTTATAACTGATAATTAATAGTACAGACAAGCAGCTGTACAGAAGAAGAACGCCGGTTAGTATCGTCAAACACTCGGAAATACATTCATACGCTCGGAGATGCTCGGATAAACATCGGTTTTGGTCTCCCCTATCTCCCCTTCCCCGAATAAAAATTGCAGTTGAGTTAAAATTTTAAAGTTGAATGATTGAACCACGAAGAAGCAGAAAGATAAATAGAAACTTTTTTTAAAATAAAACAATAATAATAATAATAATAATAATAATAATAATAAAAGAAATAATCTAAAATGGATATTCGAACCAAAAAGGTCCCTTTGGAAGAGGACGCGTTTTGACTTTTCAATTTGTTCTTCATGAATAATGTACCATCAGGTTCCAAGAGATTCCAAGATGGCGGACACACAAAGAGGTAAAAGAAGGTTTTCTATTTATCTGTTTGTTTTTGAGTGTCTTTCGATCTTTTACCGTGCGAATAAGCAACTTCAACAAGCTAACAACTATTTCAAGACATTTCTAGACAAGAAGATTCTGCTGTTAATTTTCATTTGATTGCGTCAATCGCCCATACTAGTAAGGCTCACTCAAGCCCTCCACCTACGAAAAGTGAAAGTCTTTATATATATTTGGAACATATTTTATTCCAATATCCTAATATTCTCGTTATCCTATATTTATAATTGTATTTATTAATTTTGTAGGTGTGTCTAGATAAAGTTTTAACAACTGGGGCATATCTCATTAGATAATAGATGCACTAGAAATGGGTGTCATTATATTGCTATGTTGATTTACCAACTATTTTGAAAATAGTTTACGTTACTTTGTTGGATTAATCAATAGATTTCTGGTTAACGGCTAATAGTGACATTCAAAAAAAACAAAGCATTGTCCATTTATAAACCATGTTTGATGTAGCAAGCATTCTGAATTTTWAAAAAAAATGCATAACTACTTGGGTTTTCCATATTTTGCGAACTCAGTAGTTGCGACCTGAACGCTGAAATTTGTTTTTTTGCTGCTATTAATCAAAAATAATCAGTCAGTACCTTTCATATTGTTGACTGGCACAGTAAACAATTACTTTCACTGCAACCCATTGAAATGTCAGAGTTCTCATAATATTGTAAGGTATCAATAAGTGTAAGAACCCTTTGTTAAGCTTCAACAACAAGTTGTGCATTAGGCAACTAAGTGTTGTATATACTTTTTACAGCACAGCGTGATAAGGTAATGACTGGTGACCTACCAGAAGATTTCCTTCGTTTCAACGCTCCTGGTGGTACCCCTGCTGCTGGTCAAGCACCCGGCATGGTACGAGTTATGTACCCCGGTACATTTCTGCCAGTACAACAGGTTCCTACTGGACGACTGAGCATAACTGTTGTACAGGTATAATAATCATGTTTATTATTGTTACGGTATATATTTGCATTATGTAACATCTCCCATATATATTTAAGCATAATTCATACTTTTACAAAATTTTATTTGTTGTTCTTTTTGTTTTTTTCTTCTTAGGCAAAACTTGCAAAGAATTATGGTTTAACAAGGATGGATCCCTATTGCAGAATCACTGTTGGTAATAGTGTATTTGAGACACCAACAGCTCATAATGGAGCAGCAAACCCAAGATGGAATAAACTAATGGCATGGTATAAAAGTGTTCTTTATGTCTTAAGGGAATGGGTTTTTGTCTCGATATGATTGTTAAGAATTATTTATACCCACTTTGCTTGATCAATACATCTCAATCCAGTCATTGGATATGTGATTGATGGAAAGCATAAACTCAAATGTCTTGGATTATAGTGTCTGGTGATAATTAATAAGGCACCTGATAGATCAAAATTTAATATAAAATTTTATTTTTGAGGAGGGATGAAAAACTGGAAAACCTGGAGTGAAAAGAACCCTAAAAACATGACAGAAAACCACCAAACAGCTCTACTTACATCTGACACCAAGTCTGGGAATTGAACCTGGATAGTATTGTTGAATGGCACCACCTTGCATCTTCCACAAATTAGTCAGATATTTGGCCATCAGTTCATTAGATCAGGGGTTCATTTTTAAGGGGTTTTTGCTTTTGAACCTACACTGACAGTTTTTTGGATTAATTATGTATTTTTGTTGATGATATATTTAATAACTCTACAGCGATTTTTATTCTTTCATTTTCTAGTTCTTTACCAAGGGGTGTTTCATCAATTTACATTGAAATATTTGATGAAGTAAGTTTTAAAGAAGCATATCACCATATTGTATAGGCTGAGTACTAGTAATGAATATTACTTTTTACAGAAACAGTATTCACATTTATCCCTACCCCAGAAAATCCACGATGTACCATATTATGTTCTAAGACCATCTATAGATACTTTCCAATATTACGAATGCTAAATTCATTAGAAGTATACATTATTGGTTCTTAATTTTACTTTTCTTACAAATTATTTTTAATTGCAGAGGTCATTTTCAATGGATGAAAGAGTAGCATGGGGGTTGGTTCAGATCAATGATCAAGTGTTAAATGGAGAAACATTAGATGATTGGTACTCATTAAGTGGAAGACAAGGAGAAGAAAAAGAAGGAATGATAAACCTGGTCTTTTCTTACAGGGTAAGCCATTATACTCATGTTTAATTAATCCTCACTAGAAAAAATACAGTACCTCCCTTTTCACGTTGGGAAAGATAGATGATTGGGTTGGAGCTAGGCTCTTAATGACTTCTTCAACTTTCACATTCACACCCTTCCTTCCCAATAAACATCTTAGTGAGACAGTACATAAGAATTTCATGGAGCTATTTTATCTTCCAGGAAGTGCAAGCTCAACCAGTGATGTATCAACAGCCAATGCCAGTTATGATGGTGCCACAACCAATGGTTCCTGGCGTACCAGTCATGTACCCTGGTGGATACCAACAACAACCTCAAGCAGACCCTCAAGCCCAACCACTCCCTCCCAGACAACCAACACAACAAGACATCCAGAATCTTAAAGATATGTTCCCTAATATGGAAGAAAGTGTAATCAAATCTGTGTTGGAAGCTTCAGGAAATGATGTTGGAGAAGCAACGACTAATTTGTTAGCCATGACAAGTGAAGACCAAGAAGCTGCTAGTACTTAAGTAACAGCATTACAGCTGATACTGCAACCACTTTAACTAATGATATTAATTAATCATTAATCAAACTGTAGTTTGAAAGCAAAATAAGCCAATTTTAAGCCAATCAGGAGTAGATATGAAGGCCAGATCAAGTTGAACCATGGTCAAATGAAAGATTGTGATTGGTTGAAGTCATGATATTTATTTTGTCTCAATCCTTCTGATTGGTTGTAGTCTGCCTGCTGCATCATAATTGTTTAACTGGTTAACTAGTTTGACTACACGTAAGTAATTTAGAATGATAATGATAATTCATAGAACTTTCATTAAACATTTGTCTCGTTGGTACATTGTGCGTAGAGGTACATGGAAAGCCACTTATCTAGTATCTAGAGCAAAAGCATTTTAACTGATTATAAAGACATTAAAATGTCATTATTACATTCAAAATTAGAAAGCTACTTAATCCAAGATTGGATCAGGGGAATGATAGTGTTCATCATATTTTCTCCTTTTGTTCAGAAAAAAACAGGTTTACTTTCCATTGCTGCTTTTTTGAAAAAAATACAGTGATTTTTCTCACAAAGTATGTACACCCTAAATATAGCAAGGTAAAAATAATGAAAACCTCATTCCCATACTAGGAAGCCATTCTGCCCCAACTGAGAGAACTAGTATTCTAGTTGAACTACATTCAAATAACTAAGACAATGGCTGTGACAATCAGCTGATAAAAGCCTCTAAATTTCTAAATTATATTTGTTGAACACTGATCATTATGCACTATTTCAATATAGATTCAAATTATAAATAATTTTATCACTTAAATATCAATTGTAAATTTGATTTTGAGCGTAGGTACTGTTAAGATACACAAGTAGAAGTCTGTTCCATTTCTTAAGATTTGTAAATATATACTTTATTTTTGATCAAAATATTAAAATTTACAGCCACAAGTATGATTTGCATATTTCTATTTCTTAAAACATGAGTGGATTGGAAAATGAGAGTTACGCTAGATGGGGCTTTGTTCTAAATCAGGGCATGGCTAAGTTACAAATTGAACTTGCAGGTTTTGACTATAGGGGGAAGAAAACTGTAGATCCCAGAGAAAAACTCCCATAAGTCAAGAAAGAGATGAAATGAACTCTACTCACATATAATGGGAAGTCCAGGAATTGAACAAAATACCCCAGAGGTGAAAAACGACTACTGAATTACATGTATTGTAGTTGTTTAGTTGCTGGCACCTTTAAATAATAGACATAACTAGCTAGCACTATATTGAATGCTTTGCTTATTTTTATTCAAATTTATTTGACATTTCATCTAATGCAAGCATTAGTTCATTCTCTTCTTCTAATGAAGATTTTGTCCATGCCAGTGGAAGGTGCTTGGGAACTGGATTCCTGTCCTGAAAAAATGACCCATTTGGATGCTGGGAAACATTGGGTGTGATGCACAGCCATATGATTGTATCTGCACCCTGCTCTGCTGATCGTAGGACATGTTTAGTACGATTGTAGAAGTCTGGCATGGAGGTGCGAACAGCTGGGGTGTCGGCCCAACCTGACGAATAAAGTAGTAAGCAAGTTAGCTGCAAGACAAAAACAGCGATAATATAAATGTACAAGACATTTTGACTTACCAGGATGCATGGACGCAAAATAAATGTTTGGATACTTGTCTGCCAATCGCTCTGTCATCACCACTTGCTGTCTCTTGTTCTGGGCATAAACCAGGGCTCCATCAAACTTACTCATGTTTTGAGACTGTAAGTCAGTATGGTCAAGCTTAACGAGAAGCATTCCACCTTCAATAGAAAAAAAGGTATGGCATCATTGCAGGTTATAAGCTATAAAGTGTTCTGGTTCAGTTCATGCAGACTTCAACAACATCTACCCCCGCCTCCAGCCCCTTCTCCACCCCCCTCCCCCCCGTCCTCCTTCCCCACAGGCACCCCCAAACAACCTTTACAAACCTGAAGAAACAGTGATGACTCTGGGTGATTCATTCCTTGATAGACAAGGAATCAACTCCTTCGTTAAGATATATGTCCCCAAAGTGTTAGTAGCAAAGTTCTTTTCAAGCTCATCAGTAGTTAGCTCTCTTTGGTTTACCATACATCCTGCGTTATTCACTAGGACGTGTAAAGGTCTCTCTGAAGAAACGAATTCACGAGCAAATTTACGAACAGTTGAAGGCTGTGACATGTCTAGTATATGCAGCTCCACCTTGCTATTGCCAGAGATCTCTACGATCTCATCTCTTGCTTGTTCTCCTCTTCCCTGGTCACGACAAACCATATGAACAAAAGCACCCTTCTTGGCTAAGGCGATAGCAGTGGCTTTTCCAACTCCGCTGTTTGCGCCGGTGATCATGAACGATCTCTGGCTGATGTCTGCGTCCAATGCATCGGGTTTGAAGGATTTTTGTGCAGCTATAAAGCCTGTCTTGGTGTATTCTCGTAAACCTTTGACAAACCATACAGAATATCTGTAAACCGACATGTTTGAATGGTATAGTCTTGTGACAATCAATGTTATTGATTATGTAATATTATCCACAGGAAACCCAATATTGTAATGTTTATTATAATCACAGGGATCCCAACATGTGTTTCTCTTCACACGATCTAAAGCATGAATTCCCTGCCACTAATTGAAAAGGAAAATAAATGCATTGGAAGAAACAGGAAGGTAAACAATGAAGAAAATGGAAACAGGAGCTGAGAAAAGGTGAAAGAAGAAATGAAAAATGTATAAAGAGATTGGAAGGGACTGGAAGCAAGGGACATAAATATCTACATGCTCTCTTGGTGCCCAACAGTTTCTAATTTTCCATGATTTTATTATCCAAAACTTATCAAATTAAAAGTATTTTAGTTTTGTAGAGAAACTTCGAGCAACTCTCCTCTGCAGTACGACCTCCTTTATTGCACTTTGCATATATTCGCCTGATGTGCACGCATTAGACACCCAGTAGTTACTAATTATCTACGATTTATCGAGTTTTTCCCAAGTGCTATTCTGAGGAAAGACATATACGTCAAACTGAAATTACTAATATTACTAATTATCTTCCTTTCTTTAAATCTCCCCTCATTTTTATTACCTTTTAGCAAGAGATAAATTTATGCTCGTTTGCTGGAAGCTAATAAAAAATGAGAATAAAATTGAAGGAGGAAGAGGAAGGGAAAGAAGGGGAGCAAACAGAAGGACAAATCAGAGAAGAGATGAGAAATATATATATCTAACATTTTCTGCATTCAAGAGTTAAAATTTTGTATTTTTATTTTTTGGCAAATTTTCAGACTTACAAAATGAAAACTCCATTAGGGAATAACTCAATTTTATACTAACTTTATTTTCATACTGTTTGAAAAACAAGAACCCAACTTGAGCCCTAAAACATTGATTACAAGACCTAATTTGACTACTAATTTCACGTTCTTTTACCTATTGGCCACATGAGGTTCCATATTCTTATAATGTAGTAGTTTAACAGTAATTATTTCATCATTTACTGTACTGTAAAATATTCATGGTATTTGTTTAATTCCTAAAGCAATATCATCTGTGCTGCTGCCCTTTATACATATCCTAGTGGTGTTTCTAAGGGGAATACTGATATTACTGATATCTTTTTCTCTTGGCTTATGAGATCAATTTTTTTGCTATCATTTGTCACATGGTCTAGCGGAACTGTATTGGGCTGATTCTTAGTCCAATCGTATCCTTGCCAACTTCAGCAACCTGTAAACATTTAAAAAAATCATTTCAGAACACAATTTTTAATGGAGAACTGTAACAAGAGTTTCTCACCCCCTTATATTCTTATTTTCTCAATAAACCTTTCTCTGTAATCAGTGGTTGTGGAACCTACCTTGCATACTTCGCACACAATGCCTTTAAACTCAGGGCAATAGCTGGTCTGACACAATGGGCACTTTTCTTGGGGTTTACCTCTGTGATAGACAGTATCGAACAGTTCATTAATATCAAATCCTGCTATATATATGCAAGCAATATGTTCATCCACTCAGCATCGCCACAAGGCAATTCAAACCACCCAGGACAGAAGACACTGGATGTAAGTGGTGTCAGCAGCATGTGGTTGATCCACAACAGCAACAAATGATAATGATGAATATGTTCAAATTGTTACATACCTGTACAAAGGTTTGTAGGATAAACCACAGACGGAGAATGGGTTATGTTCATCATACTGTAGTTGATGTGCATCTGTTGGGTTCTTGTCACAGGCTTGCAATACCTTTCTAGTCTGATTTGAGACAAAGATAAACCAAAAGAGCAACATTAATTACCAGGCTTTGATTGATAGAGGATTTTGTGTTTCAATGTTTCAAGGTTTTTCATAATCATTGTTTTATCCTGGTTATTTCAGAGATGCTTTTTACTTAATTGTTTTGTATTTTTAATTTTTCTAAGCTTTGCCCAATTACAGTGACTTGTCCACCTCCATTTAACACATGAAATGTACAGTATTTTATAAATCCATGTAACGTCAGATAAGAAAATCCTTGTTTTTATAATATCATACCTGCGTGGCTACATCAGGTCGAGGACCAAGCTCCAATAAACGACGGGCAAATGATCCAGCAGTCTTGAAATTCTTGAGCTGTTAAACATAACATATTTAAGTAAGCAAAATATGAGCTGTGGGCTTCCTGTTGTATATTTGCATGAGTGGGAATGAGACCCTGGAAGATTAACTATTCCCATTCTATCTATTTCTTTTGCAAATGAAAGTAAACCAAAATAGGAAAACCTAGCAAGATGATATGAGGACCCACTTGTACATAGGATGCCATCAGCACCTTACCTTAAAGAAGAGGTTGAGTGCAGTCCTTAGGGTAAGAATTTGATGTACTGGTTGTAGATTACAATGAGTAAAGTATGCAGCCATCTAAATATTGGACAAAAACAAACATCAAGAACACTATTATACACTGTATAGTTCAGATTGTCTGAATAACACACCAACTATAAACAGGTTAGGCATGTCTGAATATTATGATCAAGTGTACATTGTATACAACATTAATACTTAGGTTACCTCACACACACGCTTTTGTTCTTCAAGATTACTCTGTGAAAAGAAAGCAAAATGCTTAATGAAAGAAAAAATAACAAGATAAAATACATAAAGAGACAAAAACATATGAAGTAAATGCCACTCTGCTTGAGCATGATATACTATGTAAGGAACATGATATAAGGAAGGACATGACCTTACCTTAGGCATTGTCTTCCTCTTTGTTTCCATCTGTAATCCTAAGATGTATTCACGACATATGCCAAGTAACTGCTGAGCTTCACTAACTTCTTGTTTGGTGTCAACAACCGTCAGTAGAACACTCAGGAGAATTTCCTGCAACTTGACGGAGGCTTCCTGGAATTTACCACCAGTGGTCAACTGGTATGCAGCCTGGAAAAAGTAGTACAAATGCCAAATAAGTTTGATTGTGACAAGATATGAAGAAGATAGCTGAAGAACATGAGAAGTGATGAAGTGGATACCAAAAATTAATGATGATGACAAGAGTAGTTGAAGTAGTTGATGTTAACAAAAGTATTGATGCACATGCATTACCTGTAAACGTTGTACTAAGGTATTCAATTTGAGTCCAACAGCAGGTAAGCCATTGCGAGCTCCAGCCTCTTTCCTAATTTACAAAATTAGCATAGCAATGATTATTAGCATGCAAACTGAGCTTCCCAATAGTAATGTTTCTCAATTCACTCACCAGTTTCTATGAGGATATCCAAACAAGTTTGGTAGAGCAGGACCAGCAATGATGGCTGTTCTTGATCGTGAGTAAGCTAACATAAACAATGGCTTCAGTGGTTCGAAATTCACCACTCCAACTTGATCATGAAGAAGCTGCAATAAAAACAAATCAAGCTTTTTCAATCTGAGTTGGGTTTTAATGAGCCTACCTCAATAAGGCAGCTGACAGATTGAATTAGAAATTAAAATATTGCTTCTCTGGTTGATGTAAATGGATGACACTTGATCTAAAATGATAAAATGTAGATGCTATCATACATACCCTCATGGCACTCTCAAATGAGCCTCCAAGGATATGATCAACTGCAAGGTGTGAGTTATTGCACCATACTTGTGCTTGGCTTGTGCCCTTGCTTGGAGGTACAAAATATCCTTCTTCTCCAGATGGAACAACAGGACCAACATCCTGAAGATAATTAATTAAATATCTTTTACATATACATGTAAAACAAAGGTAGAGCAAACTCAGGGCTAAAACTTGCCAATAATCAAGTTTAGCAGTAAAATACTAGTTATATTTTTGTTTGTTTTGGCTAGTGAAAGTTGCTAATTCAATAGCCATATTGACTACTAAGAATTATGGCAATTTTTAGTGGTAATAATTTTTTTAAGGAAACAAAATGAATCTAGATAAAGTGGTCTGTGCCTGGCATATTCAAGATAACTGGTAATCTCCCAGAGTGTATGTTGATGATCTGGATAAACATGATGAATAATGATGTTATTTTATAACCACTATCAGAAAGCTTTCACTGTGTCAATTTTATCTTTCTTCTTCATCATTTTATTTCCTTATGAAGATAACAAGATTTCTGGAGTGAATTGAAGCTGCTAGCCCACGATGAAAGTATAAACTATTGATAATGAAAGCTTTTGAGTACTAACTTACCAAGTCAGCTGGTAGTTCTAAGTCATCATCACCAACATCCCATCCACCTCCTTCTTCCTCCTCTCCAACACCTTCAATACCTTCATCTTCTCCAAAACCTCCTTCTAAAAACAAACAACATCATACACTGTCAGAAAATGTCAATAACACTTCTCTCCTGTCCATTGCCCTGGTAAGTTCTATGGTGGCTTTGCACCATCAAGTCATGGCAGCCATCACACAAAGCACAACAAATAGTGTCTTTTTCCTCAGGGAAACTGAATTCTTTTTTATGTAAATAAGATTAGACCAGATTTCGATTGTTTCTGCCTCCTGCCATGGCTGCCATCACACGATGATGCCAAGCCTCTATGTCTACACTGTAAATAAACTTTATTTAGGCAGAATTGCCCATTCAACGAGGAGAGTATCCAGAGGGGCCCTCTAATAAATAAGCTAGATTACCTTCATCAATGATTAATTCTGCATCTTCTCCCCATCCTTCAGCTGCTGCTTCACCAACATCATCAACAGCAGCCAACGATGCTCCTCCTGCTTCAAATACAAACATTTTCCACCATCAATAACTGAATCCATATATCCCTGGTGTGTGTAATATTTACAATACCTTTGGCAGCCATAGCTCCTTCAAAGAAGGTCTTGCTGACTGTAAGAAGAGGCCAGTTGCCTTCATTTTGTAGAATTGGTACAAGAGGCTGTAGTAGTTTTGCATTGGGGTTAACTTGAGGTAACTAAAATCCAAAGACAAAAGATAGAGTTAGACCAGAACAAACAAAAATAGGATGAAAACTATTATGATGGAAATTGTATAATAAATGTTACTTATTCATTTGTCTCATGATTGAGGGTCATTTACAAAACTGCTAGTCAGTTTGCAACCAACCAATAAGAGCAGAGATGTTCTGACAAGTGCTATGAAACAGATGCACCAACCAGTCTACACTATGGTCTGTTAAGACTAGCAGTTTGCAGTCAAAACATGRCAGTCCTTCTACAAATGACCCTCAATTGTGAATTAAATGAATAAGTATTATTTATAAACAAGTATTCTAACAAAAACAAAACTAATCCTGAGCAGCAAAGTATTAACTTTGCAACATTGAGTTTCATGGGCTCATAATAATAATCATTATCACATTATTTTCTCAATAGCCACCCAGCCAAGTGAACATAAACTCACAGTGTCTGGATTAAGTTCAAAAGTTGACTTGACATCTTCTGCATCTTCAGTCAGCCCATGAGTTGCAGCAGTCAAATAAGCTAAAGGACCTTGCCCAAGAGCCTTTAGTATCTTCACCCTTTCTTCTACATCACCAGTGTACAAGGCATTGTGGTACTGTCCACTCATATCCTTACGTATCTCAGCTGAAGATTTACAGAAGAAAGATTTGTACATTTAGTGCGGACGCCAATGGGGTCACGGCCCCCCCTTTTAGTTTGGGATTCAAAATGTTACTTCGGAACTAATTTAAAGATAAAAATTAAAACAATTGTGCCATCGCGAAGACCTGTACTGCTAGAGACAAGTAGGCCAGGTGAGTAAGGATGGTTTATAGTCTAGCAAGACAACATAACTGTATTATCAGTACACAAAGGACTGACTCAATATAGTGATGTACTTGCACAAATTTATAGCCAAAGAGAATCGTTATGAGTTGTAAATCAATAAATGAACTCACCGATTTTCTGCATTTTTTGCAGTTTCTCAATGTTCCCAGTGATGAGGTACAAGAATGAAAGCTTATCAAAGTTCTTGGTTCTTTGGTAAGCCATCTCAACAACCTACAATATAAACATCATAAACACCATTATAAATGAAGATCAGCTCAATTATGGTGCAGTTGAAAAAATGAGTCACTATGTATGATGATGACGATACATGATGATGATACATGATGATGATGATACATGATGATGATGATACATGATGGTGATGATGATGTTGATGATCATAGTGATGATGATGATGGTAATGATACATGTGATATTGATGATGAAATTAAAAGGTAGGCAGAATAAGAATATGGCCCAACTTCAAGCAAATAAAACCATTCACAATTTTGAATGGAAGGCTTGTTGACTTCTTTATAATGTATTATTTAAAGATAGATTTGTTCATTGTTGAAACAATAAGTAGTGCTAATCACCTGATGATTTCCTTGTCTCAGGGCTGCTGCACCCAATCTTTCCCAGCATGCCTTGTCATCTAAGGCCTTAGCTGCGTCTAATGCAACCTACAAACAATATACAATAATTGAGTAAACCTGAAATAATATATGTATTATCTGCAGAAAAACCTAAAGAGAATACATTATTTTATCATTCCCAGTTCACACACACTATCTGGAGTTGTTTGTAGTTTTTGGCAGATCAAAAGTGAAACACACTTGTGAGTACAACATAAAAATAATTATCTTTAATTATAATACCTCAATGTTTCCACACTCAAGTGCAAGACCAAATCTTGTCTTCTCATCTTTTACAAAGTGAAGAGCCACCTATAAGATTGATAAAATGAATGCATTCAAGTCTCAACAAGTTTTTTATTTGTGTCTAGTATGTTCAACTCCAACAAACCTCAGGATATCCTTTCTTTTGTAAGTAAGAAATGATGGACTGTCCAACAAGTTTGGCATTCCTGACCATGTGAAGCACCTGATGAATAGAAAGTATGCCATGTTAATGTGGCTTGGTTGGACTGTGCTACCTGCTAGCCAGAGGTCTTTAGTTTGATACTCCGTAGCCTAAATCACTTGTTTCTTAAGGCTTCCAAGGTTAGACTTGGTTGGTTAGTTATTGTGCTGCCTGCTCAGCAAGATGTCCATAGCTTGTCTTTCAGTGATCTCACATTCTGAGGTCACGCCCTCAGTAAAGGACAAAGGATTTCTGATGACTTACCTCATCATATTTACGATGAATCAGTGCCAGTTTAAACTTGAATTCCGTAGGATCAATACCCAGTACTCTGGTCTTGCATTCTCTGTCCAGACAGTACACACTGCTTCCCTACAGTAATACATATTGTTTCAAACATTTGATAAAAATATCGCAAATATTACAGAACTGTTAAAAGGAGTTGACAAACAGGCAATACCAATAGAGAAAAAAGTAATACTAAAGAAATAAAATTCGGTCTAGAATAGGTAAACACAAACTTGTGTGCATGATGCATATGACGTAATCTAAACAGCTTCTCCGATCTAGCATAGCACCAAGGTAGTACTTCACCTCATGCCTGTCCTCCCACAACAGATTAGTTATCTATAGTACTCATGTTTACCTTAACTCTGGTGATATAGATAGGTAAATCTAAAGTCCTTATGATTCCATGATCACCATTTGTTAATGCATATTTAATGTGATTGCTTGTAGTGTATACAAACACACCGCTCTCCTCCCAGGCACCACTCTTCACACGGATATTCTCATGAATTGTGCTAAGACACTCCAGTTTCCGATTGCAGACAGCAACGACTTTAAGAAACAAAAAATAAGTATGATTTAAATTGACTAAAATATGCAGCGTTATTCATGCTATGAATAACCATCACTTTACCTATGACCTGCTATTCATCTGACCTTGTTGAATAATTGATCTAAAGATTTCTATCCTCTTGTATGTGTGACTGGATTGCTAGCAAATAATAGTGGCAACATTGTTTCAACACTGATATAGTCTACAGTACATGCATGACTTACTGTGTTTGCTGAGAAGAGCAACATGGGACATATCAGGGGACCAAACCACATAACGAACTTTGCTTATCTTAACTGAAGCCAATGATCTGTAGTTGAATTGAAATGATGAAAAACACATTAAGATATAGCAATACTTAATAATAAACATGTGGTTACAAGCTCATCCTCATTGACAGTTCTTGGCTGAAAGCACAAGCAGCCCAGTCAAAGCTCTTATATTTTTACAATATTATGAAGAACCTGTCTGAGTAAAACCCTTGAATCAACGAAGATCTAACAAACTCTACTCAAATGAGATGCCAAGTCAATTTATTCCCACACCCCAGAGGGGAGAGGCAAGTTTGCTACCCATGCTTTCCTAACCTAACCATTCTCAATTTTAATAAATAATAATTTTACCTCTTTTGCTGGACATCAAACAATGTAATGGAGTCAGGATCTCTTAGTAGAAGACTTCCAGTGCCAGCATAGAAGATCATGTCACAGTTTGGAGTAGTGACTTTCTTTGTCACTTCATTCTTCAAGTTCTTGATAAGCAGGGTGTGAGTCCTGTCCAGGACAGCAAACCTGTTACGAGCTACCCATACTGCAGTCAAACCTGCTGCTCGCTTTCCCTCTGACACTAAGAACAAGTACAATTTAAAATTTAATCAAGAGTTGAGTGTTGTGTGTTGTAAATCCTGAATGTAGAGATAGTGTGTATATGGGGATCCTCTTACAAGAGCCCCTTATAGGGATGGTTATAAAATAAGTCTAAAATAAATAATTAATGTGCACTGCTATAACCAATAATTGCTATATAAAATACCAACCACAATTTGCATTCTCAATCCTTACCTTCAGGGTTGCTACTATCTATTTGCTTTGGCACTGCATGCACTTCATAGACACAGTTTTCTGGATTCGTTGCATTCTGGGGGGAAAATATTACAAACAAGACAATAGAATAATGAATGTAGACCAGTATGAGACACAATTCTTTTAATATAGTCTATGTTTACAGCTGTACTTACCGTGCAGACAAGTACACAATTCTCGGCAGGATTATATGACAAGGAATAAACTGGGGTACGTGAAGAATTCCTATAATAACAACATATAACATATGAATATTACTGGCCATACTTTTAAGCTAGGCTTTAGGAAGAGTAAACAACATTTTTTCTTATTATGATAATCACTCACTTCTTGAACTGCATTACTGGAACATCTTTGGAGGTACCAAATTCATAAATCCTAAGATAACGATCCTAAAGATGGAATATGACAAGAGAAAATGAGCAATACAAATAACTTTCAAGCATAGGAAACGTTATTGCACCTACTTTGACGTAATACAAAGTATTTCCATGTACAGCATAAGCTGGTCGTTCTCTTTCAAGCTTGAACACAATCATGCCACTATCATGACCTGTCATTGGAGGGATAAAGTCAGTGGGTGTGTAGGAGATTATACAGCATGGTAGATGGCTATTAGGATACATTATGTTTAGAGATGGTGTACATACCAGCAGCAAATAAGTTCAAAGTAGGATGAGCTGCTATTGCCCAGAAACGGTCATGTTCCCTTCGGAATGTCTGAACACCAGTCCTATAGTCAAAATAATTTCAATGCAAAGTTGATGAGTACTTCGGATTTAATGATTATAAAAAAAAGGAAAATGGCTTATTGATCTTTAAGCTAACCAATTAGAATGTTGTGATAAAGCTAACTGTTTTATTAAACTAATGCTATGGACTTTACATCAAATAGCTTTTTCAGTCCATTATTTTCTCTTTTAAAGATTAATTTAGTGGGATTTGCCTTGTACATAGAATATCTATGAATCATCATTTTTGTGTTAGTTCTTACCTCTTGGACAAGTCCCAAACTCTGATGCTTTTGTCCTCAGAATTACCTGGAATGAATAGCAAAAACCATTAGTAGAAGCCAGACACGGGGGAATAGTTACTGCCAGGCTTTCTTTACTTCCTCAGTTGTTTTTTGTCTCTTTGATGCATAATAAAGTTGTGTGGAGAGTACAGACCACCATTTACATGTACATCCATGCCACTATATGTGAGCTATTTATATGTGAACAACATAACGAGCCACATAATATATTGTATAATACTGCCCTGATATAGTGTACTTACTCAACATAAGTTCTTGTCTTGGATGGAAAAGAACACATGACACATTGTTGTAGTGTCCACGGCATGTATCCACTTCCCAAGCTTTGGAGTCTAAAAGTACCATAAAAACAAATAAGTGACATGAGTGAAACTAATTCCAAACCAATTTGTATGAAATGAAGACTGATAACTTACCATTCATCCTCCACAATTTGACCTGTCTATCATCTGCTCCAGACACTATCAGAGGCATGGTGGGATGAAATGCAACCCAGTTTACACCTCTATCATGACCCTACAAAACAACACCAGTCATTCATTAAAATAGTACCCCTCTATGCATGTCAATCTATTCTCCCCCCTCTCCACACAAGATAATAACTTCAGTCTTAGGTTTTGTTAAATGTTGATTGATGAGAGTCAACAATCCAGATTATAAGAATGGGTTACTATGCCTGGCCAAACCTGGCATCTATTTGCCAAAGACCTCTCAGACTAGTCCTACTGAATGGTCACATGCTGATCCTGGTCATCACATTTAACAATTGAACACCCATTATTTTTAGAGTCAGTCAAAATTAAATAAAGAATCTACCTCAAGTACATGCTTGACTATGGCATCTGACTGCCCAAAGAGGTCTGTATGTCCTGGGCTTTTGAGATGATCATCTAAACCACTAGCACCTGGAGCCACAGTCTTCTTACGCAGACCTAATTATAAAGGTAATGCATACATCTTAACTTAGGTCTTCAATCACTGTATTCACCTTACCCCAATCATTATATTAAGTATTTCAATAATAAACCTTTTGAACACATTCATCTTTATTAGAAGACATTTTGTCTACTGTATCTAGTGTCTATACACATGTACATAGATTGATCTGAAGATGACATTAAGTAAATGATGTTTTGGTATTTGATTTAACTATTACCTGACATATCCCACACTCTGACAGTTTGATCAAGAGAAGCAGATACCACTAGATCTTCAGATGGATGGAATTGTGCACACATGACATAATGGTTATGGCCTGTCAACACACTACATCAAATAAACATACACAATTTTAATTAATTATCATAAATAATGTACATTGTGATTGTCTTTATGAAGACTACACAACTCAACCAAATGATTACAATCAATACATTCTGTGTTAAACATAATAAAATTATGATAATTCTTATAAATATACTTACCATATGCATGTTCTTGACTGCCAGTTCCAAATTCTAATTGTTTGGTCATCAGAACAACTGAGAATCCAAGGATATTCCTATAAAAAAAGTGAAACCAAATTAAAACAAAGTTGTGCTTGTTCTTGCATATTTAGAGCACTTCACTCTCAATGGGTAATCAAACAAATGAAGTCTGGACAGAACAAACTATAATTGTCTACTTACATGGTGAAAGAAAGTTGTTCGGATATAATCCAAATGGCCTAGTAATGTGAAGAGACAGCGCTTCTGCTTATAATTCCAAACCTAGTAGAACAAAATATTATCAAAATCACAAACTGTTGTTCAAGATTGTAGATAAATTGGTGAAGACCATGAATAATGATGATGATTACCTTGATTTTATAGTCATCTCCCCCAGACACAAAAAGTGGCTGGACATCGTGAAAATGAATTCCTCTTACAGGACCTGGAAAAAGAATACAATCATTAACTAAATATATATAACACAACATATTGCATTACATTAGGCCTTTTACTATTTGTATTTCCTGGGGGGGGGGGGGGGGTACTGTACTCCCTTATATTTGCTATATGGGTACGTGCTGCCAAACAGGGTATGGTTTTCAGCGATTCTACTCTTCTGGAACAGGGTATATAAAATTGTGCTCGCTCTGGGACAGGGTATATAAAATCACGCTCTCTCCTCTCTGGAACAGGGTATCCATTTTCGCAATACCGGAACAGGGTATAGTTTCAGCGATCTTGCTCTGGTACAGGGTATGAATTTCAGCGATTTTACTCTGGAACAGGGTCAGGGTTCAGAGGCCTCAGTGGCACATCCCTACCCTAAACGGGCAAGAGTATCCCCCTGGGTTGTATTTCAACTTGAGCATTTAACATTTTCCCGATTCCAATCTCTTGAAATTAATCGTATTATGATAATCATTACTTTTACTACTTATCAAGGAAACAATGCCCAAATGAGTGACTTTATGAAGATTTAGGGCAAAATAAGTTCTATTAACTTAAGGCTTTAAGGTTAAATCAGTATGGGAATTCAGTGGAAATCCTCACCATCATGCTCATCAAATCTCTCCAACAGTGTACACATCCGATAATCCCATAGTTGTATAACACCATTATGTAGACTGGCAAGCACCCATGGCCTCTTCGGGTGAAAGCATAACCCTGAAAACAGGCAAAACAGTTAAACACAGCTAAGTAATTTGTTTTTAATTATATTTCAGCCTAGAGAGAGACAAGTCAATGGTTCATTACTTTGCTCCCGGCCCATCTCATCTGCGTTTATGCTCCCTTGGGGGCAGTTAAGATTAAATAGAGCTTTGCAGCCTACCCATCAATATGATTCATTCATATATGATATGATTGGACTTGCAACAATCAATACAAATGATTATTATTTTGGTGAAATATAATGAAAGTATTATAAAATACTTAAGAATTTGCATACTTCAACCCAAAAATAAAAAGTGCAGTTTATTTGGACTATATGGCACTTGATCTACGAAATAATTTTATAAATGTCTGTATCAAAGGAATGACTCGAGCTTGAAATTAATGTGAATATGCCGGCTAAAGAAGCACGATCAATTTTCAAGTTCTCAGTTAATTGATCAACCAAAATTTAGAAAGATTATATGGGCCTAATATCAAAATCCTAAAAAGCCTTTTATATATAGCTGTTGTACATAGAAGTATCAGGATTTAGATTCAAGGTTGGATAAAATATTCCAAGCTTAAATGAACATAGATCAAACCTACCTTTAACTCGGGCTGACTTAGTTTCGAATTTTGTCAACATAGTTCAGATCGAACCACTCCAAAGAACTCAGACCTCTAAAGAAAGAGTACTTTGAGCTTTAGGGCCTATTCGAATGGTTGTATGCCTGTGAGAAGTAAAGGACAATTAGGAGGAAAGATCAAGAAAGACTTCGAGTTCTGCCAACAAAGATGGCGGTCGCCACGTCACTTTAGACATGTGTACCTACTGCCTCGATATGAACAAGACAAAAATCATACTATCCTACCCTCCCTCTCAAAATAAAGGACACCACAGGACTCCCAAGTTTAAATTCATGTCTAGAATTTAGTTTAAAAAAGATTGAAGAAATAAAAGAAATATAATAAGTTCATTTGTTGAGTTTTTTAGGGTAGGTATGAGGAAATTCTTGCCAACTTTTATCTGTTACATCGTTACATCTTTTACATCTTAAGCAAAATGAAAAGGCATATTTTTAAATTTTAGGATTGTTAGGATCTTTCACCTTTAAATTACACATTCAAAAATTTGATAATAAGTACGAACTAAACTTATCATAAAAATTAAGTGCATTAAACAAAAATTGCTAAAACCTATGAACTTTTTTTTTTTTCCAAAAACAAATTCCCCCTCCCCTCCCATGAGTTAAATTGCCGTTCGGTCCCAGTCTCGAATACCTTGCCTCGCTCCTTCCTCTCTCTTTTCCCTCGTACTGTCGGGCATTACATTTAGGTGGATTTATAATCCGTCAAAATCTTGGCCATATAAAGTCATCATGGCCGAACAACTGACTCTACGTGGAACGCTAAAAGGCCACAATGGATGGGTAACCCAAATTGCCACCAATCCTCAATCTCCAGATATAATTTTGTCTAGTTCGCGAGGTAGGTTTGCGAATTGTTGTTCTTTTTATGAGAAAGCACTACTACGATATAGTAATATTCGAACCGTTTAAAATAATCATATGGCTTGTATAAACTAATTTTTAGAAAAGATCTATCTTTTCTTGTAATTGAAGTTTCTATGAAAGCTTAAATCATAATTTATTTTGAAAAATGATATTCCATCGTGAAGATGAAGCCATATTTGATCTTGACACACAGTTAATTGCATTCTATAGATTTAATTTTAATTGATTCTTAAAAACTAGATAATACAGTGATAGCTGAAACACATAGTAGACAGTATTAATAAAAATTGGAATTAAAGTCTTGAATAAACTTTGAATTGAGGGGGTAATGTATCAGAGATACATAGTGGTGCCCAGAAGTTTGGGTTAAATGATGCTAGCTGCTGCCATATTGGAGATACTTAACAGTCATAATGACACAATGACCAGTCTGATACATCTAGCATGGTCATCGTGTCATGTGCCTATGATTTTTATGGCTTAATTCAAATCTTTTGGATTTTCTAGACAAGTCGATCATCGTTTGGAAGCTGACAAGAGATGATTTAAACTATGGTCTGCCAGAGAGATCTCTTCAAGGGCACAACCACTTTGTAGCCGATGTTGTTATGTCATCTGATGGGCAGTTTGCCCTCTCTGGTTCTTGGGACAGCACTCTTCGTCTGTGGGATCTTAACACGTAAGTCATCTTCGGCCTTTAATTTAAGGCCTTCAAATTTTATTGATAGAAGCAATGTATTATGGGCTGATTGAAGACAAAGCCTGGGTAGGTTCTGTTGAGGGAATAAAACGGTTTAAACTTAACAAACTTTACTGACTTGTGATTCCAAGTCCATGAATCAAACTAGACCCCAAAGGTGCAAGGCAAAGTCACTACAGCTACACCACCCTTGATTTGATTGAGAATTCCCATATTGGTGATTGTTTCATTCCTGCTAACCAAAATTAGAGTACCATTGCATTGAAGCACTTTTTTTAATGCAGAAATAGTATACAGTACTTCAAATTCAATTTGTAAGAAATTGAACAACAAGACTTAATTTAAATTATTACTGTTCCTCGTATATTCAGTGGAGTCACTACCAGACGATTCGTTGGTCACACAAAGGATGTTCTTAGTGTTGCATTCTCTGCTGACAACAGACAGATTGTGTCTGGATCAAGAGACAAGACAATCAAACTGTGGAACACACTTGGGGTGTGCAAGTACACCATCCACGATGAGTGCCACTCAGAGTGGGTTTCCTGTGTGAGGTTTTCACCTAACACTGGCAATCCCATCATTGTCTCTGCTGGATGGGACAAGCTAGTCAAGGTATAACTTTAATAGGGCAATTCTCTTTTGCTAAATATTTTTGCAAGTACATCACTATATTGTAGTCAGTCCTTTGTGTACTGATAATACAGTTATGTTGTCTTGCTAGACTATAAACCATCCTTACTCACCTGGCCTACTTGTCTCTAGCAGTACAGGTCTTCGCGATGGCACAATTGTTGTAACTTTTATCTTTACATAAGTGAAAAAGAAACATTTTTTTCCTTCAGAAAGCAAATTATAACAATAATTGTTTTCATGTGACGTCATAATGAAATATGATATTGGCTCTCAAGAAATATATACATGTATTTGGGTCACATTATCAATTAGAAGTAGTATGCTAATATGGGTCCTAACTTTTACAGCTTGTTGATCTTGTATCCACTCCAGTAGTTACATTGTAGTATGCTAATATCAGTCCTAACTTTTACAGCTTGTTGATCTTGTATCCACTGCAATAGCTAGTATGCTAATATGGGTCCTAACTTTTACAGCTTGTTGATCTTTTATCCACTCTTGTATTCAATATTTTATGTGTTTTTCCATTGAAGGTCTGGAATCTCACTAACTGCCGTCTTAAGACCAACCACATTGGTCACACCGGATACCTTAACTGTGTAACTGTTTCACCTGATGGCTCTCTGTGTGCATCTGGTGGAAAGGTAATACACGACTACAATCAAGTCAAAAACCATTCACTACAATTATTTCCAGCCCTTAAGATTTTATTGATACCTTCCTTGAAATGACCTCTGGGTTCATCAAAGTCAGGGCACGGCTAACTTCAATGATTCAAGGGAGATTCAAGGGAGAGACGTACATATAACAAACTCTGCTCACATGGGATGTTGAGTCCACTACTGCTACACCATCCTTGACCCTCTAGAAACTTAGCTAACAGGTCAAGTGACATAGGCATGGAATAGTACTCATTGGATGTCTATTTTCTTGTAGGATGGCCAAGCCATGCTGTGGGATCTTAATGAAGGCAAGCACCTGTACACACTAGGTGGCGGAGATATACTTAATGCCATGACTTTCAGTCCAAACCGCTACTGGCTGTGTGCTGCTGCAGGCCCAGCCATCAAGATCTGGGTGAGTTATTTATGCTAACATTAGTTTTTTTCTGTGCCCTGTTCAGTAATACAGCATGAAAGAAGTGTCAAAAGAAGCAGGACCTCTGGCTGAGAGCTTCTCATGCTTTTTGAGTTGTTTTAGCACTTCATAAGTTGCATGTGCAAAGCACAGTTTACTAATATAGCACAGTTCTCAGCCAATCAGACCTTACTCTAGTAGATGTGCAATAGACTACCTTCAATAAAAAAATCATTAATATACATAAATTTGCAAGGTAACCTATAACTAGTAATTTATTTTATTTAGTGGCCTACCACTTTCACACTCACATGTTTACTAAATTGATTTTTGTGAATGAAAAACGACTTCATGATATGGGAGAAGGGGGAAGGGGGGATATGCATATCACTTGTATTTAGTTTATATTAATTGTTTTTGTAGGATTTGGAAGGTAAATCTCTAGTAGATGAGCTGAAACCAGAGATCATCAACATGGGTGGCAAGGCTCAACCTGCAGAATGCATGTCACTTGCATGGTCATCTGATGGTCAGACACTGTTTGCTGGCTACACAGACAATCTTATCAGGGTGTGGCAGGTTACTAGGGCTTAGAATTAACATCATGTTGTAAAATTGAAAAGAATAAAGAACGGTTCTCTCAAAACTGACAAGCCAAGCTTTAAGTGTCACTACATTGAAACCAACTTTGTGAAGGGGGTCTTTTCAAATAACAGTTTGGTTACTTTGCTTTTCCATGTGCTTTTAGAATGCATAATGCCATTGGAGGTTTACAAGGTGCATTCTGGTATAGAATGGGTGTGAACTGCTGGGATTTCAGATGAGGGCTATTTTTTGTAACATGCTTGTTTTAATGTCTCTTGACAAATTTATTCAGTGCTGTTTTAGTTTGTACTTTATCACAGTCTTATCAAAGGGATTGTCTTGCACTCGACAATGTTGCTCTATATCCCTCCACTCTTTTTAATGTTTATTTTCTCTACTGCGTTAGCAGTGATGTGGCAAGTACATACTAGAGCTGCCGTGAGAACATTCTTGCTTCACCTTTAGACCGCGCTTTTTATTCTTATCTTGGGTTACCCAAGGCTGTAGCTTTTCAAATGTCATCTTTGATGAAGTACGCCTTCCTTTTGCAATGGGTTTATTCCGGTTCTCGTAGCCCACTTTAAAACCCTTTTTTATATGATCATTTCTTGAGAAGTAAGATTCTATAGGAATCCCGCGCGTATCAAACGTATGTTTGCGAGGCTCGCTCTCTTTAACGACATGTCCTTCTATCAAAAACTTTTTATTGCAGTCTTCGCTCTTGTTTTGTTTCTTACTATTTTGACGGCCGATTCTTAGTGCATTTTCTCCTTTTGTTTCGCATTTTTTGCACAATATTGCCTTCTCTCTCCCTGTCCTCAGCGCAAGATAACGAGCTTTTTGCCTATCCATAAGATACCTTGCATTTCTGTACTCTTGCTTCCAGCTTTTAGTCGATTCCGAGTCTTCTTCGCCAAAAATTGCACCATTTTGTGAAACTGGAGGAAAAAGACTAAACAAGGGGGTTGGATAAGTTGTAATCTTTGTCTGACTATAGTCTTCAGTGTTACGAAAAATTGGTACAGTAACTGGTTGGTTGTGTGGAGTATTGGGTCTTTGCTCAGGGAACTTGTCTTGCGGGTCCTTCCTTACRTCAAAACTCATAGAATTTCTTCTTGTCGACTTTGAAAGATCACTTGGCTCCCTAACTTTCGACCCATGTGTAGGATGTTCGTCCTTTATTTCCAAAACTTTTAATTCCAGCTTGTTTGTGTTCATTATTACACTTCTCCTTTTTCGCTTCAAATGTTCAAGGCTTAAATTTTAAGTGTTTACTTATCATATCCTATAAAAAATGTTTGCCTAATAACTCCAGTCGAAGAGTAAGTTAAACTTGGCGATTGCATTGAGCACCTTGAACGAAGTCAACAAGCTACGTTTGTAATCTTGACAACAAAACATGGCTTACTGACTTATGTCTAGCGTTTCTCTTGGCAACGCACCTCATTTTCATTCCACCTGCCTTTCCGTGGTAATTTGTGTGTTAATGGCTTCAAAACTAACTACCCCGCATCCTCACACCATGACCCCATCCTTTAAAGTAAAGTTTACAGCTATCCAAAAGAATTAAAGTGGCCTTTTTTTTTTTTTTTTTTTTTTTTTTTTTTTTTTTTTTTTTTTTTTTTTTGACAGTAACGCGAATAAAACACGAGTACTGGGATAGTTAAACTAAAAATTGGAAAGAGCGCGGTGTATTGTGTCACATTCTGGGACTCATTTATCAATGTGAAGAGCAGCTGCCAAACGCATTTCTGCCAGTTAATTATAACTGTCTGCCGGTTTAATTATTTCTTCTAGGCAACGAATTTCGTTACGAACTTTCAGGCTTTCTCGCAGGGCTTGGTTCAGTCAGAGTTACTAAGCACAAACAAATGCTTTTGCCAGTTTCTAAAGTTGGCAATCAGTTTTGGATGCGGCATGATAGAAAAGCCCGTAAGACAATGGAAGGCATAAAAGCTTCGATATACTTTCACCTGAGACTACGTGAAAACGAGGAATATATTACATAAAGCCATCCACCATCTCCACCCATCCCCTTGCGCGCATTTACATGTAAGAATTCTCCCCCACACGTGACTGTAAGTGATACCGGTTTCCATCAATCTGAAAAGGGCATCCGATGATTGATAATCCCTCAATGTTATTGTAATAGTCGCAGACTTACTCATCTTACTTGTTCGTTCAGTCGACCTCTTGCCGTCATGTTTGTTTGGAGCGTCCCGAGTGAGGAATTGCGAGCTAGCTTGACTTCTATTAACAATACAGGAGACATGGATAGAGAGTCTTTATTGAATGGTGAGTTACCCACATGTATATCATGATATTAAAGCTGTAAATCAAACTGTTGAACCATAACCCACATCTCTGATTAGACTATTTGACCATACCTAATCCTACTAAAATTACAGCGGAAATATAAAGAAGTGAATTGATTTAAGAAATATTTTGAGTCGTGAAATTTTTCCATGCAGGCATATTATTTTGTAAAAGACAACAAGAACTGCCCCCAAAATTCCTTGCATAGTTAGGTCACAAATTTATCCGCGCGTTATTAGCTTATGATTCATGTTCCTGTCAACGGTACTGTAGCTAGAATTAGAAATCTCAAACAGCCATGATCAATAGCTGATTACTTAGCGAACTAGTTGACCAGCTATGCAGCTTTTAATATAATCATTATAGTGATTTTAGATAACTGTTCATTGTGACATCGATGATTAACCGTAAATTGTTTAGTGAATACATGTTTATACACACCCACCCAACGAGTCACACTTTTGTCTGAGATTGAGGTCAAATACCAAATATCAAAATAAAGTAATCCATATCAGTAATAGCCACAGGGAGCCCGGCTTGGTGATATGCTAAATCGGTAAAACGATCACGTTTCATATGTTGATTACATTACATAATAATCGTAACTCAATACACCCATATACAAACGGTCACTACTAATAGAACTTGTAATGCAATAGTGTTAGACGCCCCGTAAGAAGAGAGAAAGGAGAGAAGCTCTCCTTTCTCTCTTCTTAACGCGTGCGCTACGTATTTGAATTCGAATTTATCACGGTATTAAGTTACGCGTTACAAACACTGGTGTTCTATTACATAGTGTCATCAACATATGAAACGTGATCGTTTTACCGATTTAGCATCACCAAGCCGGGCTCCCTGTGCAATAGACTGCGTTTCTTCAGCTCTGGGTACGAGATTGCATGTGGGCTTCCTGTGGTTCTAGCATTGTTAGTTTGTTGTTTGTTTTTGTTTAGAATATTATAATGTTTTCTTCGTTTTCTTATACTCCTGGCACCTTGCGATCTTCGTTTTGATTAGTACGCGTAGGCCGTTTCGCTTCCTTTTTGGGAGAGAAAGTGGTGAGGAGGTTTGTCCGTGTAAGTCTTGTCCGCAGCATCCGTTGTTGTTAAACCATAGTTTTGATAGCTTGTAGTCTGCTGTACATAAATGATTAGTCTAGATAACGTTTATAGGCGTTAAGGTGGCTGCCTACTTTTGAACGTTCGAATTGAGCCCACGATGAGCGCGCGCTCAAAAACCGCTGAAAAATCTACAAGATTTTATTGAAGAACCATACACGTTTTGAGCTTTAACAGGGCAAAACCCTCAAATTTTGCACGGGACTCTCTATTCTTTAATAGCTCATTCGAAAAAACTCCTAAAAATCTAGGTTATATCAACATTTTAGAAAAAGTTTAAATCAGTAACACATGAAAAAATAGATTTTTGTAGGGATTTTTGTTCGACTTTATGAGATTTTTTAAGAGCACCGAAACTACAAAATATGACAAATCAATGTATCTCTTTGTCTTTTTGTCGAAAATATCCATGTATTATTGTAGAAGGATTGACTAGCCTTCATTCGTGCAATCATATAGTCTGCAAATACCTATTATCTTATGAATCTTAATTTTTTTCTAATCACTTTCGGTGGCGCAATTTTTACTCAAAAAGCTCGTGCTTAGGCTTCCATTAAATGCTGATTATCTCGAAAACGAGCTCGGCACACCCTATTTTTAAAATTAAAATTAGAATTTTCGAAAATTAAATAAAACTAAATTCTACTCAGTTTTGCATTGATTTTGTTTATGATTATTCCGAAAATTGGATTTAGTTTGATAAATAGCACAGGGAACCCATGGAATATAATTCTGGAAATAAGAGAGAAGATTCTTTGAAAAATAAATTTTCGATTTCATTTAAGAAGCTAAACTGGTTTTAAACTCTATTTCCTATTTGGATAAAAATATAAACAGAGAGGAAATTGAAATAGATAACGTTATTATATAAAGGGTTTTGTATATCTGACATTTTATGGAGCGTCGGTGGTATAATGGTCAGCATAGCTGCCTTCCAAGCAGTTGATCCGGGTTCGATTCCCGGCCGACGCAATCGTTTTTAAGTTTCTTTTTCTTTTTCATACTTTTTACTTTTAGTTTTTTTTCTTAAATGTTTTTTTTCTTCATTTCGTTTTTGTATATTATTTCTTTTTTACCTATTTTAATCACAGTTTTCTTCAAACTTCTCTAGACTATTAAATTGGCCTCTAGCCTCAGTTTTTAACTGTGTTTACATTATTTCAACTATGCTTTTTTGGTTTGAATATATTTTTTAAGAGCTACAATTGATCCTTGATGTTATTTGGGGAAAATTTCAATACCACAAAGGATGAGAATCTAATATTACAAAGAGTGAGTGATCAGATAAGGTACGCTGCTAGCTCAGTAGGCCTAATACCATGTACCAAATCGAGGCAAGACAACTTTTAGTGATTTGCTCAGACACTCAATGTTTGTAGAAGGAGAGAAAGTTCTGGATCCCGCGAACCACTTTGTGGTTTGATTCGATGCATTCTGCTTCGGGAATTGGACTTCAATCTACTCCAGCATATTTGAGAAAATACTCCCTTGCGCCTAGCCGTGATGATCGGTCTTCTACAGGTATAGAACTACCCTTCGTACATTATATTCATCACTGAACATATAAAATCACTAAATACATATGTTTTTCATCTACCTAAAAGTATATATACCGAAATTAACGAAAAAATGACAATGCATATCGCATTTTTCTAATCTGTTTACAAATGGTTTTAATTTTTTGAATTTTTTTGTTGAACGCTTGGTTTTGGAAACAGAGTTGACATACCGGCATATATGATGTCTCGTTAGCATCTCTTGACCCTTCGTCTCTGTTACTGTAGCCTTGTTCGAAATTTATGATGGCATTTAAACTGTCCTACGATCTTGTTTTCTCTTTGACAAATTGCTTTATTAAATACAACACCTGCGAAAGATTCATTTGGGATGTTTTGGCTTTGTATTTTTTTAGGAACATGATGGCGGCTTTTTAGTTCCATTCATTTTATTAGGTATAAACGTGACGTTTTTTCATGTAGTCTTACGTGCAACTTCGTGAACATTAATTTATTTAGCGCCCTTTCTATATTGATGTAATCAATGGGTGCTTTACATTGAGTTGTGAGGGTTGAGGGTTTCTTTACGTCCTTAGTGGTATTTTTACGTCCCTCTCCGATATGCGCTAGGAATGATGAAGTGTGGAGAGAGGTCATCCGAGCCCTGAGCCACTGTAAAGTCTAACCATTTGTGGATGTAATAATTACAAAGAAAGCACTTTGTCCTCAGTTATTTTAAGACCACTTGACACGTTTAAATTAACCAGTTTCAACAATAATCAGTTGTATTTTGTTGGCCACGGTAGACTAGTACCGCCGCACCGTAATATATCAGTGCCGCACTTTTTTGCCAAAATCCTAATCATGCGCAGATCCACAGTACATTGAAAACAAATAAAGTCGCTGTCCTTTTATCTGGTTGTCAACTTTGAATAACCTATTGTTTGAACAAAATATTTCGCTGCGACGCTCTCACTCCAGTTGACTGAGCTTTGCATAATGCATATAAGATGGCGGCGAACATTACTTTCAAACATTTGACGAAAGAACTGTGATACTGTCTTTGACGAGTTGTTACTCACTATAACATGTATTAAATGTGCAGTGTAGTATTCTTTATATGGGGTAAAGTGTTTAGGGGTGTCTGAAACTATGCAAGCACATCGTATGCAAATCATTGCTCATGAACCAGAGGACACAGAAAAACAAGCTAGAGTACTGACGCGTCCAGGTATGTTGAACCCTATTTTGAGCAGTAAAATCAATTCAAAGTGTTTAGGACACTTTTGCTTGGTGTTTGACCAATCACTATGACCATATTCTATCCAAATTGTATCAACATATTTAGGAATTTTGAGCAAAATCTCAAAACTGATGGCCTCGCTGGCTTACATACCTTTAGATTGCTCTTTTGAAAATGCCGTGTTTTAAACTCTACCGAGCGACAGACTGTGACTAACTCTAACGAATGATTGTAAAAGTAGCTCTTCAAAGAATGACTTTATCGTGTTGTGAGGGCAAAACCTTTAGAAAGTTCTCGACATTGTTTTGATAGCCCAATGACTCTAAAGCTATTTAATCCCACAAAATGAGTACAACGAATTTTCAGCCAAAATGGAGTTTAAAATTTATTGGCTATCGCCTTAATTACACCTTAAAACTTTTACTAAAACTTTATCTGTTCAATTCCAAAAATCTATCGGAGATTCAGAGCTCAATGTTTCAAAACAACTATAACTTTTTCAAAGTTTATTTCAAGTTTTTAGTTAAGTTTTTATTGTCATTTGAGACGGTTTAATATTTTCGTTCGGATATTTCAGTTCTTTACTTCGCGGCTGTGTTTCTTTTGTATCATGAGAACATGAAAGTTTGTTTCAATAATGAAAAACTCATAGTTTGATAAAAGAATACGTCGCATATACAGTAAGGCTATAATCTGTTGACGTGTTGTGCGTCATAGGTCACTGGACAAGATGCTTGTTAATCTATGCGCATATTTAATTATAACAACTGACTGCACTGATATAGTTTATAGAAATAGTAGGTTCAGAACTAAACACATTACTCTGTCATTTCTTCTTTTTGATTTTCATTTTCATCTTTTTCGTTTTGTTTCATTTTTCTTTTCTTTCCTTTCTTTCCGTTATCTTTTTCCCTCCCATTTCTTGTTTTTTTTCTTCACTTGTCTGTTTCTTTCACTCTTATTTTTCCATCCCTTTACTTTCCTCGTGCAACTGTTGGTTACTTTTCAAAATCCGTTAATAAGGAGCAACTGAAATGTGCCATCAGTTTTATGTAGCAAGTTTTATGTTACACTGCAAATCTCGAAACAATAAGCGGGCCAATTATGCAATAATTCGGGACCCCATCTTTATCAAAACTATAAATAAAGAGAACTCTAGAGTTTTTCAACCAGCTATTCAAATGGCGCGAATTTTCCAGACTCACGACTGGATACAAATCATGCATATCTGAAAGCTTTGAAATCAGTCATGGACGACAATATATATATATATATATATAATTTATACGTACGAAAACAGCTCAGAGTTTATACTGGAGAGCACAGTGTGGTCAGTGAGCAGTCATTGAGTTTATTTTCTAGTTAGCTAGCAGTGAATTTAACAACCATGATTGTTATTAATACAGCTTCAAGGCTGTCCACCGTGCAAGGTGAGTATAAGGCTGAATGTAGTGTTTCCATTTTCAGCTGTAGTCGATCGAGACTGGTACTGTTTACCATCGATCTTAATTTCCTCCTCCTCCTCCTCCTCCTCCTC